AGATTACTTTGGATCGCTTTTTGTTTCGGTTGGCTGAAGAAGAGAAAAGAGATGGGGCGTGCCTTACCATCAGAGCTGGACACCTCGAGGTAGCTCATTCATTAACGACAGAGTCTGCAGTTATGGCCGTACGACGGATGATATCCAGGAGAGGACAACCAAAAGAAATATTATCTGACAACGGGACGAATCTCCGAGGAGCTAATGAAGAACTACGACTGGCAGTTGAAGAAATGGACCAGAAGAAAATGAAGGACGGCTTCACAGAACAAGGTATGGACTGGATATTCTTGGCTCCTGCTTCACCTCATATGGCTGGTGCCTGGGGAAGACTGGTTCGCTCCGTGAAAACTACTTTTTATTCAATCCTGAAAGGACAAGTTTCAAAAGATGAACTTCTCAGTACTCTTTTCACTGAATGCGAATATACAGGGTGTCCCATTAGTAATGGATCAAGAGAAGTGGGGTGTTAGGGGGGTCATTTCCAATCAAACTAACCGTATATGTGGTTATCCAATTGTTGATGGTTCGAAAGTTATTAATGTTTTTTTCATTTTTATGAAAAGAATTATATACAATAAAACTGTCACAATTGTCATTTTTTCTTTCGCAAATTTCATCCACATGGATGCACCATTCACCAGAAATAATGTTATGACATGTATTACTTCTTATCAATTACCTGAGAAAAATGTTGTTTTCCTTGACTTTTGTCATCGAATGAAATATTTGAGTCGATTTTTAAATGCCGCTGGCAGATTTGAAAACCACTCCACAAAGATAACCAATCATGAGGAAAAGGTGTCCACTCAATACAGATTCCGAAATCGTATAAGATATGGGTTTATTCAAATTACAGCCTCTTTGTTATTATTTTTTTTTCGAATAGGTCGCATTTTTCAGAAAAATTTAATAACTTTTGAACCATCAACAATTTGACAGCAACATATACCGTTAGTTTGAATACAAATGATCCCCCCTACCATCCCACTTCATTTGATCCATTACTTATGGGACACCCTGTATAGTGAATTCTAGACCACTTACAAAAGTTTCGACTGATCCAAATGATCTAGAATCACTGACCCCGAATCATTTTTTGATGTCTTCGTTTACTGAAATTTCCGAATTCAGAGACATCCAACAAAATTACACGAATGAATGAAAAAAACACAATTACTTATAGAATCGTTCTGGAAACGATGGACTAAGGAGTATTTGCCGACTCTTACAGAGAGGACCAAATGGACAAACGACGAAAAGTCCTTGCAAATCAACGATATCGTTATTATTGTTGGAGATAACATCCCACGGAGATCTTGAAAGTTGGGTAAGATAATAGCTGTCTACCTCGGACCAGATGGCCGAGTACGTGTGGTAGATGTTAAGACCGTAACCGGAGTGTATAAACGACCGGTTGCCAGACTATGTCGTGTGGATGTAGAAGACCAGAGCTGGAGGGGTTCTCTTCACTTCAGGGGAGGAGGATGTTAAACTGTTGAAGACGCTATGTATATTTGTATTATATTTTTTGAGAGTTAGTTGTGAATGTCAATAAAAATCTGGACTTTAGTGTCAAAACGTTCTGAAAAAGATTCTGATTTAACGATTACAAAGACGACAAGATATTTGTTCTGACGAACTAACACATGATCTTATCCGTCGTAGTATTCACATTCCTCTTCCACTTCCCTGGTATTGAATATTGCTTCCGGGCGCTTGGGAGGATGAGATATTTTCTTGAAGATTTTTGCTGTCTCAGTTGATTTAGGAATTCTAGAAGAGGTGACGTAAGATGCGGCACTCGCAGTCTGGGTTAACCACTGGGAAAGATCGATTGAGCCTCTCTTCTTCTTCTCATTCTTCTTCTTCTTCTTCTTCTTCTTCTTCTTCTTCTTCTTCTTCTTCTTCTTCTTCTTCTTCTTCTTCTTCTTCTTCTTCTTCTTCTTCTTCTTCTTCTTCTTCTTCTTCTTCTTCTTCTTCTTCTTCTTCTTCTTCTTCTTCTTCTTCTTCTTCTTCTTCTTCTTCTTCTTCTTCTTCTTCTTCTTGCGTAGACCCCTGCACTCAGGCCTCTTCAGTCGGGCCCATTGTGCGCCCACTTGTCCTGTGAATCAGCTGGGCATGCCGTTTTCTTTGACGAAATTCAGCAGCTTCCTCAGCTGAGTCGCTTTAACATCCTTTATGTGCAGTACAATGCTCCCAAAGGCAGCTTTCCTCTGATGCACCAGCGCGGGGCATTCATTGAGTATGTGTGATGATGTTTCATCATCCTCCAAGCACCATCTGCAGATGGAATCATCTTTGATCCCTATGAGTTCTAGGTGCCTGTTTAGGTGATTGAGCCCAGTTAGGAGCCCAACTACCATCTTGAGATCCCTTCTATTAAGTGAGAGGATCTCTATCGTGAGCCTTTTTGAAGGTTCCTTCACTGAGCCTCTCTTACTAAAAACTAGTTCTCCCCATTTGAGCTTGAGAACATCTGGTAGTTTGCTTACAAGGTCTTCGATTAGTTGAGGATTCTGCATATGACCTAGGGAATGTAAGGATTTTATGGTTGCAACTAGATTTCCGACTTCATTCGAGAAAATTATCAATTTATCAATATTTACCTCTTTCATTGAAGGCAACGTATTTATCTTCAATAATGAACTCAGGCCTACCGAATCTCATTTCAAGTATATCCATAATAAGTTTAACATTGTCTCCTGACATTATCATTCCTGAAACTGCGGATCTCGCTTCACCTCTGAGACATTTCCTCCGCTTGATGACCATTTCTTCTTCGCTGTAGGCACACATACTGGATATACGATTGAAGGACTTGTGAAATAAAGGCCAATCCTCAGGACAACCATCGAAGGTGGGAAAATCCTTCTCAACGGTTTGCCTAGCAATGATTTTATTCTGGGCAGAATGATCTGGACTAAATACTCTGGCCCAAATTGGAAATCGTTTGACAATAGTTATTTAACCAACTAGTGTTCGAGATCATTAATCGCCTTTTAATATACAAGTTGGTTACAAAATTTTTTCATCGACTATATTTCTCATTTCTCCTGCAATGCAGAAAACTTGGTTCGCGATGAGTTCGCGAATTCATCATTCATCCGGAAACTGCTAAGAATCACCCAGTAGCCTTGTTACTGACATTAGTGACATTTAACATTTGTCCAAATGATCAACATAGAAAATAAATTCCTTGTGTTAGAAAACAGAGATTAAAATCGTGTCAGAAACTTGGAAAGGCGAACCCTTTAACGGAAAATCTTCGATGAAATCCATATTTTCGATTTAAATGCAGATTCCGTAAGTTATAGCATGAACAATGAATGCACGCGGTGTATGTTTGGTTGCCTATAAAACAATCATGCATTAATAGACAAATCGTTCATTAATAGGGGTCATTAATGAACGATTTCATATACATTAAACTTAGTCGTTAATACGAGGTGGACAGAAAAGTAACTTAATATCTTTATTCTCAGATGGTGGACTATCGTTTACACCCTTTTCAGATATTTTTGTCACTGTGACTTTTGTTAACGACAAACTCACCTTCAGTAGACTTCGCTTTCGAAATCTCGGGTTAGTGCAGATTTACCGGGTGACCCAGGTTCCCAGGATGCTGCAGTTTCTTTACCCATTCCTCCGTCACTTCTGCGTAGATCTTCTCACCGTCGTCCCCTCTCTCTGCTTCCTGGATTTTTCCGGCTACCTCTGCTTCTATTATCTTCGCTTCTTGCAACTGCCGCCCCAATTCTAGTAGACGTAATTGAATCGCCTTCTGCTGCAGCTCTAGTTTCTGTCTTGTCTTCTCGGTCTCTACTTCTATCTCTAATTGCTTATTGCGAAATCTCAAACTGGCCTGGGAATTCGCACTTATCACAGACCTGATAACACTATGAGCTCTTTCATCATCTCCATGGACTGCACCGTAATTGAAATTCGTCACTATACTGACCTGCTGTCTTCGTGGATTGTGTCATGGTAGTTAGAAGATGTTTCCTTTCGACTTTCCACACCTTCTCTTTCCTTTCCACCAAATCCGCTAGGCCAGACATAATTCATGGACAAACTTCTATTGATACCTGCTCCTTTTCTCGTAATTTTCCTTAGGTTTTCCATCGCTTGATTATCGTATTCGGCTCGAAGGACCAACTGTTGTTTCGTTTTAATATCAATTTCAGTAAAACTCGTATTTTTCAATGAAAACTCGTATTTTCCAATGAAACTCGTATTTCTTTACAAGTTTTTTTTAATATTATCTTTTATTTCAACATTAATTTTTTCACAATGTCAAATCTGAATATCAAATTGTGTCAAAACATATAAACATCTACAGGATGTAACAACCTGTAAGATGAAGATCAATTCATCGTATTTTTTCTTTCTTCATAATATAATTGTCAGATACCTCCGTGGATCAGTTGTGCTTTCTAATTCCACGACGACAATCCAGGTTCAATTCCTTTGACGGTCAGCTTTCATTTTCAATTCTGATTTCTCAAAAGCTTTTCCGAAAAATGTACTTCTTAGGAAGAAGGTTCATTTAGACCAAGTAAGGTTAGAATGTTTAGAAAAAGTAGTCTTCTTTCTCATAGATAAAACATGGTGTGGTTCATCTATGCCTTTCTTATGCAGAAAGGATATTTTCCTTCCTCGCTGAAAAATGTACTACTGTTGAGGCCGATAGTGATTCGCTATGTCAATGATGTTTTTTTTCAGGATCGGCTGTGAGCGAAGCTCTCGGCCGCAAATTTTGATTCTTTGTATTGGCTATTATCATTGTCTGTTAAAAATGGAGAAAAAAGCTCTAGTGAGCTATGACTATTATTTACTATGATGTGAAAACATTCGTTATTCGAATTTACCGTCAATTTCAGTGATTTGAATTTACCGCCATTGCAAAAATCGCTCTGATTGGTCTTATGTACCACCCTATACATATGTTTGGGCAAAACGGATTCGTGCATCAGTGTCAGTGTCAGTGGTCAGTACTCAGTGGTCAAAACTCAAAAAGTTGTTGGCACGCTAGTGAAAGTAAAACGGTATTTTTCGCGGGTTTAAAGACATTTATCAAAACAATGCCACCCAAGAAAAGAGAAAAAGATCCTGATAGTTCAAAAACACCAAGAATTGATCATATACAAGCTGATCATGAATTATTTCTTCAGGCATTCGAAAGTATGTTGCTGGCTTCATTATCAATTTATCTATAATAATCTTGACATATTTTTTTTACAGAACCAACCCAAATCTATAGGTACCTGAGGACAAGGAATATGTGTTCGGTAAATTATTTTATATTATGTCTATTGTTGATAATTTTCTATTCATTTTTTCAGCCGATTTTTCTGAATCGTACTTTAACCTACATGAAGCATAGGATGTCCAGAACTCACAAAAACAGACCTGATTTCAAAATAGATTCCCTCTTGGACAAAGTACTTTCAAGACGAGAGGCAATGGTTATACAGCCAGGATACATCAACCTCACTTTTTTGAGTTTCAATAACAAATCTCTGGACTGTAATGCTCAAATTGCTCAGGTAGAAACAGTGCTTCTGAAAATTATTCACAAAAAGCGTAAAGACAGCTCTGCACCTAGTATGCAGGTCACACTAGGGACTGCTGATGTTCCTATCAACCCAGATGATCAACATTTACCTCTTACTGCACCCACAATCAGTATTCCAACTGAATCATTCAATCCCTCAAGTGGTCCATTAGTAAAATCATATATTCTTCTCTTCAGAGTGAAAGTTACAACAGAAAGAGAGAGTGATGATGAGGAACCTGCTTTAAAGAAACGTAAACCAAATGGTGGTAATCCAGATAACAACACCAAACTGTATGGTGCTGAACTCACAGTTTATGATAAACATAACCGCTGTTACTTAAGTGATGGAGATTATGATATTGTAGTACAAGATTTCTCAACAACTCCCAAGAATACTCTGAAAAAGCACTCAAGCTGGGAAAATGTAAATGACTTGGTAGAAACTTGTGGAAACCTGGATGCTTTCATGAAAGGATCAGTGCTGAAATTCAAATTAACTTGGTCTCCTGAAGCTAGTGACAGAATTGTAGACCGTCCCCAATCCTATCCTTTGGAAAACAAAGAAAATGTACCTGCCTTGTTGAATGGCAACAATAATAACATTGAGAAGCTTCAAATAGTATATCAGTTTGTTTATAATAATAATTCTCGGCAACAAACAGAAGCTTGTGAAGACTTGCACTGTCCATGGTGTAGTTTGAATTGCAATCAACTTTATACTCTTCTCAAGCATTTGAAATTGTGTCATTCAAGATTTACTTTCACTTATGTGCCTATCTTAGTAGGAGCAAGGATTGATGTAGCTATAAATGAGATGTATGATGGTTCATATACAGGTTCCCCACATGATTTGATTTCTCAACCTTCAGTTTGTGCATTCTCGAGAAATGGTCCAGTAAGAAGAGCATCTGTTACTCATATATTAGTCTGTCATCCAAAACGTCTGAAGCCTAGTTTATCAGAGTTTTTAGAGCTTGATGATTGTGAATTTGATGGCCAAAGGCCTTTCATAACTGGACACAATAGGCTTTATCACCATACAATAAGCTGTTTGCCAATCTATCCCAAAGAAATGGATGTTGATTCTGAAGGTGAAAATGACCCTGAGTGGCTTCAGAATAAAACAATGATGATGATAGATGAATTCACAGATGTAAATGAAGGAGAGAAAGAATTGATGAAAATGTGGAATCTACATGTAATGAAATATGGATATGTTGGTGATTGTCAGATTCCTTTAGCTTGCCAAATGTTTGTTCAATATAAAGGAAAAGAACTATTGTTGAAAAATTTGTATAAAAATTTTGTAGTGCACATGACAAGTCTTTTTGATTTTGGTTTAGTGAGTGCAGTTTGTCTATACACAACAATCCAGAAGTTACAAGAATTAGTGGGAGAAACAAGTGCAATTCGAAATATCCTCAAGGAATCAAGAGAGGCACAGATAGATAACTGGTCAAAAACTGGAAATTTGCCTCCAATTTGTGATAAATCAGGCATAATCAAGACCCCCAGTGCTGGTAGGAAAACTGGTAATTTGGGAATTCAGAGGAGGAAAGGTACACCAACTCCTAGTGAGGCTAGTACAAGGAGAAAAAGTGTTTGCAGTGAAACCACACGTAAAAGACTTTCTTTATCTCTTAATAAAACTGACCAAAAATCTAGCTAGTTGAGGGTAGGAATCAGCTGTGACATAAGTTATTTTCATATTTTGAGAGATAATTGAAACCAATTTTTTTTTAAGAAATTTTACTATCTAGGTACCTATATAAGTTGAAAAATATGTTCCCAAAGATTTTTTTCAATTTCACACATTCAATTCAGAGTGATTCATTAGCTCACAATCAAACTGTTGTTATCTAATGAAATAAATTGCTCCATACCTGAAAAAAAAGTTATTGTCAAGTTGAATTTCCAAAGAATTTTTGGAAATTCTGGCATGAAAAATTCACACAGTTTGTTGAAAATCAAGGAATTATTGGTAGGAAACTAAGAAAATAAAAACAAGGAGTATGGCCTGAGGCTCAAAGTTGGAGAAAATTAGTAAAAAATTACTCAACATCTACTAAAATAATATTCAAAGGGTTCCATACAAGTCAAGCCAGGTCAGGAAAGCCTAAAAACCTGTAAAAATCATGGAATGTAAATTGAACAAGGTGGTGACAAATCTGAATACATGGTGTCTTATATATAATTAGCATGCAATACTCTTGTCACCCTATTGTAGAAGCTCCCTCGAAAATAGTGTTTTGTTTCAGAAACATTCTGAATGAATAATGAATTTCTTTATATTCTTAAAATTTCATCCTGAATAACAAAATATAAAGGAAATTGTTTTTTTTTCATAAGTGTATTAATTTTTTTGTTAGCTAGTATTTTTCCTATACATTTCAAGTTTCATTTCAATACTGAGCATATTGGTAAGTTATATGTTTATATCATAAAACATCATATCATTCTATTCAATTTGACAGATGATGTCAATTCTCAATTTCAGAGGATTTTGATCTTTCATGCTCTCTTTTTGGATATTCAACAGATATATTTTGACATGGCAAATAGCTAGGAAAGTATTTGTTTTCTGTTAAATATTCAGAATGATATTTTATGCATATCTTTATATGAAGGAGAATGCAAATTCTCTACTTCAGAAGATTTTATTTTCAAATTCTTATCATGTGTGTTCAATAGATGTAATTCAATATTGGTCATGGCATATATAGCCAGAAAAGTAGTTGTTTTCTGTTGAATAAATCGAAAAAGAATTAATATTTTCATCACATGGAGAATGCGAATTCTCAATGTATTTCTTTATATATATACAGTGTGACCCATTTAAGATGGAAGCACCCTTATAAAACTTACATTTTTCAACCGATTGAAATGATTTTTTTTTTGTTAGGTAGATATTCAAAAAGTCTATTAGGATACCAAATATCATGAATAAATCTCCATTTCCAGGGCCAACTAATCTGATTTTTCAAGGTCAAAAATCTAAAAAAATTACTAGCGATTTTTTTAGAAAAAATCTGACTACACCACTGGATTTGTGAAATTTTCAAATGGGTAACATGTAAATTACGTTGAAATGCGTCAATCAATAAAAAAGTTATAAAGGAATGAAATTTGAAAAATATGCCGTTTAATCAACCCACCAATTCATGTTCAGGAATTTTATGAAAATTCTGTATACTCCACTGGATTCAGGATGTCTTGAAATATTACTGATCACAGTTTCATCGAAATCTGTTCAGTAATAAAAATTGATGGGTTGATTAAACGGCATATTTTTCAAATTTCATTCCTTTATAACTTATTTATTGATTGACGCATTTCAACGTAATTTACATGTTACCCATTTGAAAATGTCACAAATCCAGTGGTGTAGTCAGATTTTTTCTAAAAAAATCGCTAGTAATTTTTTTAGATTTTTGACCTTGAAAAATCAGATTAGTTGGCCCTGGAAATGGAGATTTATTCATGATATTTGGTGTCCTAATAGACTTTTTGAATATCTACCTAACAAAAAAAAAACATTCCAATCGGTTGAAAAATGTAAGTTTTATAAGGGTGCTTCCATCTTAAATGGGTCACACTGTACAATATACAGGGTGTTTCAGATTTAAATGTACATACGATACCTGTAGATAGGGGACACTGTGATGGTTCCAAATCATCCCTCTTTGATGTCTCTACCGTTTTTTATAACTGAGATACAGGATGATATCTTGATTTTGGCAAAATCATCATCTGGTCATAGCTTTTGAACCACTTTGTATAATCTATCCATACTTGGTACAACTATTTCACTTATATTACCCATCAAAACTAAATGAAAATCGGGATCAGAATCCAGGTCCGTCTTGAGGAAAAACATAAAACTTCTCTATATCAAAAACAACACTCTGTATGGCAAATTTTTTTAGATCTGTTTCAATATTTGAAAAGAGCAGGGAAAAACGAATGAAGTGACCTACTATTTACGACCGCGCATCCGATTTGACAGATGTTTTATTATTATTTTCTGATATACTCGGCTCCATTTTGTCATTTTTATTGAAGTATTGAGTTCAACATCATTGGGCTGAAATAGATAAATCTGTTCGTTCGACAGAATAACGTCTGTGGTTTTGGAAATTTTTGAGGGCTCGTTTTATTCTTCACTATTGATTCATGAGCTGCGGTAAATCTATCAATAGTTCACCTAATTTGCTTCTAATGACGTTCAACTTTGAAGACAATTATTTTTTTGTATCAAAATTGGATTTTGAATTACAGTTCATTAAAAATGCCTCAAAATGGGGTGAATATTTCAAAACATTATAATAAACCATCTGTCAAATTGGATGCGCGTTCGTAATAAGTGGGTCACTTTATCAATTTTTTCCTGCTCTTTCCAAATATCAAAACAGATCCACAAAATTTAGCCATACAGAGTGTTGTTTTTGAAATAAACAAGTTTTCTGTTTTTCCTTAAAACGGACCTGGATTCTGATCTCAATTTTTATTTAGTTTTGATGTGTAATATAAGTGAAATATTTCTACCAAGTATGAATAGATTATACAACGTGGTTCAAAAATTATGACCAGATGAAGATTTTGCCAAAATCAATATAACGTCCTGTATCTCAGTTATAAAAGACGGTAAACACATCAATGGGGGTGATTTGAAACCGTCAAAGTGTTCTCTATCTGCCAGTATCGTATGTACATTTAAGTCTGAAACACCCTGTATATACAGGGTGTTTCATTGGGAAAGGTAAATAATTCAACTGTGGATAGGAGTCACTGGGGTGATTTCAAAAAACCCATGGTTGATGGGTCTTCGACTTCTTATAACCGAGATACAAGATATGTTTCATCAAGACCTTGAATGGATAGATTGAGCAAGTGTACCAATTTTTAAAAATATATACAGGTTGATTGGAAAGTTATGAGACAATGAAGATATGGACAAAATTGATGAAACATCCTGTATCTCGGTTGTAAGAAGTCGAAGACCCATCAACCATGGGTTTTTTGAAATCACCCCAGTGACCCCTATCCACAGTTGAATTATTTACCTTTCCCAATGAAACACCCTAACGAGACATTGCGGTAAACTCTCATCTCAATCAAGCCATCACGTCTCTTTCAAACCACATTTCATTGCACCGACATCTCGTTGGAGCCACATCTCGTTGGAAGCCACATCTCGTTGCAGCCACATCTCGTTGGAAGCCACATCTCGTTGCAGCCACATCTCGTTGGACCCACACTTTCGAGGCCGATCATACCAATGTATGCACTCAATTTGATAAGACATGAAGTTACTTTGATATTTCGTTGGGGCCATTTCGAGAGCCATTTGTTTAAAACAGCGTGTCTCACTGTTAGCAATACCATTATAGTATTATACTATTCTTTTATTATTGACAATCAAAGTAATTAAGAACATCGAATGTCCAACTGACAATCTTCATAAATCCACTTACACAGAATCAATAATCAACCACAATACTACCCCCTCAGGTAGTAACAGCATCAAAAGAAATTCGAACTATCTTCTTCAATCTTGCACTGCTACACGTTGACTTGTTGTACCAATGAGACCTCCAAATAGGCTAGTTTCAATCGATCAACTGATATAAATTTTTCTTTTCCTTCTACGAAAACTTTGAACATTTTTTCTTTTTTTCTATGATCCGATGAGGGCCATCATAAGGAGATTGTAGAGGTTTCTCAACTGAATCGACTCTGATAAATACAAATCTCGAATCATACATATGTGAATATTCTCATAACATTCTCACAATATGATACAAATATTCTAGGGATGTTCCATGAACATTCGAATTAGACTGTTTCAAATATTCTAAAGAATATTCCTAGTATATTATTGAAGAAGCAGGAAGAAAATTAAGAAAGCTTGCTCCGGTGGAGATGCGAAACCTACTATCTTGTGATTGAATTTCAACGAACCTGAAGTCTTAACCACTTAGCCACGAACCTTATTGATAAATAAAATAAATAGCATCGGATTAGTGGGATAATCTGCATTGATACTAGAGAATAATAGGTTATGTCAGGGTGAACATTATAAATATTGATACAAGAATAAGAACATATCAATATCATTTATTTTAATACGATTCTGAATATTCTCAGGATACTCAGAAAGAATATTCTCAGAACATTCAAAAAGAATATTCTGAGAATATGTCAAATTGAATGTTCATAGAATATTCGTTGCAGGATGAGAATATTCTATGATTATTCTGAGAACATTCTATAAGAATATTTTAAAATAAGAATATTTGAACGCTGTCAGAATATTCATAGAATATTCTGTGCTGTCTGGGTAATATTTAGTCACATTACTGTGATAATTGTTACTGATATATTGCCCTAAATTGCTCCATGTACTACCTTAGTTGTACCCTTGATTATATAGACTCGAAAATTCTACGTAATTTGAAAATGAAGTATCTGGACTTTCAATAATGAATTCACCAGGTATCCTTATAATAGTGTCATAGACTAGTCTGCACATGTAGACTTGATATCCTCTCTACACATTGTTCGTAATCATAACAAAATCGTTGGCAAAGCTTCATTTCTACATAAACAGGACTTAAAAGTGGCATATAGAACAAATAACATGTTGGGACGGTTTATCAAGAATAATAGAGACAAAACTTCTAAATTCGAAAAATCAGGGGTATACAAACTCAAATGTGGATCTTGTCCTAAAGGTATATATCGGTCAGACAGGTCGTACGTTTAATCAGCGCATTCATGAACATAAGATGAATTTTATGATAAAAAGAAAACAACTTCAACATACGCCAACCATATATATTAGAAGAAAACCATATAGTTTTGATGATGATTTTGAAATTCTGC